GAGCCGGTGACCACTGCCGATATCAGAAAAGTGTGTATGTGAGTGCGGTTCGTGCGCCTCTTGGTTTTTTGTATTACACACCCACGTGTGATGAACAGCAGACGGGGCGAACTCCATAGTCACGAGGACCTGCTGTTCAGTGGTGGGAACCAACAACCTAAGCCCCGGGACTTGGATTGGCGAACCATATAAAGCCCCGATAGGTTAGGCGTGGTATTGAACCGGACGACAGCAGAGTTGCCTACCACCAAAGTCGGGTGGCGGTTGCGGGGCTCGGACCCCTGACCATAGGGTCCAAAGCACGCCGGTTACAGCTACTCAACCACTGGTTTGTTTGGAATCGAGGTTTTTAGCCAACTTCTATAGGTGAATTGCCAATGTTTTACGGGTCTGATTTTAGATCCGGATGCTTTCGTTTTTTCCTCTCACTTAGGGAGAAAGCACCGCCACTGGGAGGCACTGAGTATGGTTTCCTTTGCAGAGGTTAGTTGAGATCCTTGGTTGCATAGGAGCATTTCACGAGGTGCAAGGGAAGGGTGACCAGCCAAAATCCGAGCCACCCACCCACCTGTACTTTATATAAGGGAAGGGAATGATATTTACATCGGGGAGTGACTTGTTCATTAGAGTTATTACTATGTTTTTAAATCGAACTTGTGAATCATAGGCTGAAATCAATGATTCATTTGTCTCTGGGTTTAAAGCAGTAGGTGACTCAGGGGTTTACCTTGTGACCGCCAGATTATGGTGAATACCCACACAATCAATCAATTATGGTCGTGAACCGACGGCGCAGAATTCGACCTTTATTGAACCAACGCTCTGGCAAGGTCCCTAGAGAGTTAAACAGAGATAATACAAAACGAACTTCAACGTGACAAAACAAACTCAACTTATTTAAGGTGACCTTCGTTTATTTTGTTTTGCGGTTGAATTTTTTCAAGGTTTCCATATTCTCCAGGTTATTGGTGTGGACTAGCTTTTTTCCACTAAGGAACGAGTTAGATTGTTCGGACCAATATTTCGCAGATGACGCGGAATGGTTATTAGGGGGAAAATCCATTGGTATTGGACAGTTCTCTGTCTGTTACAGTAGAGAGCGGGTCACGAGGAGATTGCACTTCGACGTGGTGTGATAACTTGCGCACTTTGACGACCCAATAAGTTAAACAAGAGACAATCGATTTCCACAGTATCCCATTCAGTTCTTTCGACCCTAGGTTGTAAGCGTTCGTTCTGTTTGTGCCTATTCCTTTATTTTCAACGGAAATCTTCTAATTTTCCTGACAGGAGTTGAATCCCGGTCGGAATTTGCGTAAGACAGTTAACAGGGTAACAGAAATTGTGACCTATTGAATAACCCCGAACAAGGTCAACATGAATGGAACTGGAAATTATTTGTAGATAATCGGTTTTGTTTTCATTGTAATTACTTCACGTGTCTGATCCCGGGCTGTTTATCCAATACATCATGGTACAGTGATCTTCATATGAAAGAAGATACGTTTATGCACGGTTAGTGTTCGGAAGACCGGCATGTTGCCGAAACCAGAAAAAGTTAATCTTCTAAACGGATTCACTACCGGAACCGTCGGCTAGTCAAAGCCTGAAACGCAAGGAAGTGAGGTGGTTTGAAAACCACAATCTATTGGGACCTGGTGTCCAGCCCGTCACGTCCTTTGAGCTAGGTCGAACGTCCAAGGTGCTCAATACATGTCTATGCTCAGTCGAGCCGGTGACCACTCAAAATCAAGGTTCGATTCATACGCCTCTTGTTTAGCTCGTAGCCAGGTACTTTTTGCCAACTCCCGTAAGATAACTGCCAATCTTTCACCAAAACGATTATAGTCCTGGATTTTGATTTTGATTTTTTGATACCCCTAAGGTCTTATTCAACCATTCAAGTTGATGGTATATGACCTAATAAGATTGCAAATGTGCAGTGTTCGAAATCGCCGTTTCAGCTCAACACAGAGAACAACTGTTGGTGAAGGTTTCTACGTTGACTGTACCAGAATAGATTAACTCTCAATCGGTGAATTTTATCATTTTTTCACCTTTCCATGATGTCTTCAATCTGTAATAAGTTTTTTTCTGTAATAAGTTGAGTGTTACCCAAAAATAAGTTATCTTTTCCGAATAGGCTTCTACGATTCTACTATCTTTCCCGTCGGGTTAGTAATCCAGCGCTAAGCCGTCGAGTTTGAGAGTTTATCTGGGATAAATTTGCTGTGGTATCGTATTCGGACCAGTAGACTTCNTTATATATATATATATATATATATATATATAATATTATATTTCACACTCGACTGTGTGCTAAACCATAATCTTTATAAGAAAGAAAGACGTTCCATGGTTTGCATATGGGCCGAATACTGTCAGGCCAAGGCAGGCGGATTTTCTTAGGGAGTCCACAGCCGGAAACTTCGGCTAGCCAAAGCCTGACCCGCAAGACAGGTGTGAAAACCGCAATCCATTGGATGCAGGTGTTCGGTTCGTCGGATCATTTCGGTTCTATAGTGTTTACAACGGTAATGTGTGATATACCTGAGCGATCAGTATAGCGCTTCTATGACTTCTCCATAAATTTATCCACTTGTTTGCCTAGCACCAAGAGCCAGCTGCCCAAAATACATCTAGAGCATCAAACCGCGACTATTCTCCTGTTTCACAACTGCATGCAAAATTACAGGTCAATTGTTTTTCAAATACTAGTTGAACAAAAAAACTTGCTACGAGCAGCTTTCAGAGTCTAAGTTTTGTTGTAGTTTGTTGTACCCTAAATTGTTTCACAGTCTACATCCAAAACAGTAGGGACTGCATATGTGGTAATCATCTGTTCATTTATAGGACCCGAAACACGGATGAATTATCTTAATAATGAAAGTCCTAGTGGCGTGAAGAAAGTACAGACCATGGTGACGAAATAGCCACTCACTACCATTTTTGAGTATCGGCAACGGAAATCGATGTTAGCAAAGTGTGGTAGAACTTGCTCTAGTAAATAAAATAGATCAATTTGAAAGAGAAATGTGTGTAATATAAACTGAACTATGAGCTAACGGGAAACTGGACTACAATGATAATGTATCGGTTCGATTTTTTTCGGAGTCTACACGTGAGGATCTTGGTACAATTTAATTACATTTGGATACAATAACGACTTTTATGGCACTGGTTACCTAGCTTAGCTTTGGTTATGCTTTGCAGTAAGTCCATGCAACGAGTATTCTCGATATATACAAAAACTTGTGATAGTACATGTTCACTGCATGCTTCGGAACTGCGCTATCTTCCAACAGCTCTGACAATACGGAAATAGATGCCAACTACCACGATTTGGTCGATGGATTCGAGAAAATGAATTTGAAACCGGAGCTGCTCCGAGGAATTTACAGCTACGGTTACGAACGTCCATCCGCCATCCAGCAACGAGCCATCAAACCCAGCATCGAAGGCCATGACGTCATTGCACAAGCCCAGTCGGGTACTGGCAAGACAGCAACATTCGCAATCAGTTTGCTCCAACGAGCTGACCTTTCTTCCCCGTGTTGTCAAGGTCTTATTCTAGCCCCTACCCGTGAATTGGCACGTCAAATCAAATTGGTAGGATCCCTTCTGCTCTGTTAACCATGTTTTTACCTTGCCTCTCTGATGATAAGGTTGTACAAGGTATAGGAGCTTTCCTTGGTGTTCGATGCTACACATGTATTGGTGGTACGAGCACCGCTGAGGATATACGCAATTTGCAGGAGGGGCAGCACGTCGTAGTCGGTACTCCCGGTAGAGTGTATGACATGATGAATCGAGGTGCTTTGGCTACGACACACATCAAAATGTTCGTATTGGATGAGGCGGACGAAATGCTCTCTCGTGGGTTCGCTGACCAGATCAAAGAGATATATCGGTTTTTGCCAGAAACCGCACAAGTGAGTATTCCATTTTCCCTCATCATCGGATTTGATAGATCATGCTGTTATCCGCTACCATGCCCAAAGATATGCTCGAAGTGACCCGGCGAATCATGAAGGAACCAGTCCAAATTTTGGTGAAGAAGGAAGAATTGACCTTGGATGGTATCAAACAATTCTTTATCAACGTAGCTGAGGAACAATATAAATTGGATACCCTAATGGATTTATATGGGATCATGAATTTGAATCAAGTGGTTATATTCGTGAACACCGTTCGGAAAGCAGAGGCTTTGTACAATGAATTGTGTAATCGAAAATTCCAAGTATCCTGTATGGTAAGTGTTTTTAGTAGTTCTGCTATCTGAATATCGCTGTTTCTTGCTCTCTGTAGAACAGTGATATGGACCAGGAAGAACGAGATCGTGTCATGAGCGAGTACCGTAGTGGTCGCTCTCGTATTCTGTTATCTACGGATGTGTTAGCTCGTGGTATCGATGTACAACAAGTATCACTCGTTATCAACTATGACCTGCCTAGCAACCGAGAAACATACATTCATCGGTGAGTGGTTCATTTCCGTTTTTCATCACCCGTATGTCAATGTTTTTGTAGAATCGGTCGAGGTGGTCGGTTCGGTCGTAAAGGTGTGGCGATCAACTTCGTGACCAACACCGAAATGGAGGCGTTGGCAGATTTGATGAGATATTATGACACGGAGATTGTGGAAATGCCAAGCGAGATCGCCGATCTCATGTAATTATACCCACCCTACATCCGCCCATTTCTTTGTCAATTATTCGCGCGCTGATCGCTCCGTGACCTTCGAATCGTTTCTGTTACGTGCGTGCAAACAACTGAACAAATACATCGATTTGGTTTTCGAGTCGTCTACTATTGCTATTGCCCACTCTGTCTCTTTGTCCTCGCTGCCTCTTATCGTTCTATTTTTCACCCTCCCTAGCAGTTGAAAGTTCGATAGACCACAGCCACATCGAATACCGTCACCCATTTTCAATTTTTCACTTCCCGTCACTTCTTCACTAAGCAGTCCGACATCTTCATCCCATTCGCCCGGTTCGTATCTCTCTTAGGTTTGCCTGTCTGTTCCTCAATCGATTTCTCTCGGTCAGGCAGTGTTCGAGTATTCTTCCCAGGTTCTCTATCCTGCGCTCGCGAAAATTGCTGATGGCAGATCATATCCAAACGTTACAGATGCGTCACACGCTCCCCGGGAACAGTCGTGAATTCCTTCTCCTCGCTTTTCTGTCACTGTGGTGTGTTGATACTATTTGCCTTGTGACCATTGGTTCGCCCATCCTATGCCTCCTCCCTCGATCTTCCGAATGTCATACACTTCTTTGGACGAGATTGCTTCCTACTAATACGGTTTCGAATCAAAGTGCACACATTCCCTTGTGCAGGAGTCAGAAAAAGCGCTTGGTTCTCGGTAGTGCGATTCTAATTTATTTGGTATGTTGATCTAGTAGAGAATTATTTCTGGCGAGTTTCTATCCCCGCTCCAGTCCACGTAGGTTTCGAATGATCACACGCGGCGAAGCAATGCCGGCAGCCTGAAACAGAAATGTGCAAATGATAATAGTTGGATTTTCGGGAAAGAAATTAATGAGCATGGGTAATATTACGGGTTTTTTTTAATTTAATTTCGGTTATTTCGGTCCCGGATTAGCAATCGATACCACAAGACCTACCACAAATCTCCTCTACACAAGAAAGAAGCCGCATGGTGAAAGTTTCCCGTTAATGTTCACTATTTTACGGTAACCTGGTTTGATACATGATTTCCTCTCGGACGGCATCCATAAATCTTGATGGCAGTAATCCAATCGGTCACCTGCGGTTGCCTAGGTGAGATTACTCTCATTTCCGTTCAGAATGCTAATGGAAAGGAACTATCATTACGAGATCGGGGGCACAGTAACCATCGTCAACATTGGGCACGAAAATCTGCGTAATGATGAGTTGAGTGATGATGCACCAGGGAGCAGTAGGACTGATTGCAACCAGAGTGAGCATTGGCAGCAGTGAATTCCAATATCTCTGAGCTGACAGTTGCATCACCATGCCATCAACTATGGAATGTTTTGGGTTCCCTACCATGAGTTCTGATGATGATGACCTGATCGTAAATGGCGTTTGCGTGTAACGACGACAATACGGGGTGAATAGGCGCACCAAAGTCTGTCTCAGCGATACTCAACTTCGTTAATCTCGTTTTATAGTCCTTTAAATTTCATTGATGAATTTACTCAGTCACAGACGAACAAATTGTTGTTTTGTTAGCTTCCCATGGGATGAGGGACAACGAGTCGGCTGCTCTGGTGTATTACGGAAAAGCTTTTCAGAAAGCTCGTTTTCTGCAAAACAACAAGCCGTCTTTGCCTGGTTCTGTTGTAGCGGTTGATACTCGAGGTACTTGCTCCACGCTGTGGTAATCCTGTTTGCCGAGATGATCCGACACGAGATCTTCAGAGAACACCGAATAAAGCGATCAACATGGCTTATTACGTTTTCGATTAGTACAGTGGCGGCTTTTGGTTGTGGTCTTTGGCTACTCAGCAGCAAGAAGAAGTTCAGGGAAGAGTTCGAATGATAGAAGTTGTATCAAAGTGAAGACAAAGTTCAAATCGTAATGACGATAATCAACTTAATTATTCTGTCGTCTTCACTAGGGAATCTACCGTTTTTCTTGTGATTCGGTGCGAATCGTGGAGACAAACAGCGCACAAGCGATCGCTGACGGGTCCAGTCAAGAACCGAAGCATTTCTGATGCCCCCAAACACCACAAACTCTAGACGATAATTCGTGTGGCACAGCGTGGCGTAGGGGTGAGATTGAATCTGGTGGTTGAAGAGGCATGAAAATGTCATCAATGAATTTCGCAACCGAGTGAAACCCGGCAGTGAACATGTAGCTGCACGTGGCTTGACGATGGACCTGTTTATGGGAGGAAAAGCGAAATTATACAGTGCTAGTGTGTAGATAGTCTAAGTGTACTCCAGAACCTATTCCATCAACTAGGGTGATGCTGTGAAAATCGTGAATCACGGCCCGGTGAAAACAAACGTATTTCGCTTGATTCTACGCTGAAGTTCTGCTTAACGTCCTTTAGTATCATAGAAATGTTATCGAACATGACCCACGAACAAAACGCGGTACACTTGCTTGCCAAATATGCACTTGCCAGATGAATGTGTTCAAACAACCCGATTCCGAACATAGATCAAAAGTTCCGGACGATGGATTACTGCCTTGTCCCAGTCACCAAAGTGGATATCTCGGTGTCAGTTAGATATTGTGTTTTGCTCTAACTTACACTTTCAGCCTTGCCGGTGTGTGCTCGTTTCGAAACCTTCCAATAAGTCTGTCGTAAGCAAGAGATTTTCCCACAGATTGGTGCGTTACACGGCTATCAAGCCACGAACCAGTGGTACAGACAGCACATTTTCTAACAGTGTTCCGTCAGAACATGGGGTTGTGAAGTGTTTTTGACTCGTCCATGTGTTTTTGGTTTGACGACAAGTTCTCAGTTGATGTGAAAATGATCCGACGAAAAAGTAGAAAGATTTAAACCTTGCCGACGTACCTGTTTTATCAGGAAGAAGACAATGATCGCTTCGCTAAGTAATGATGATATGTCTACATGAGTTGTGTATTGTGACCGTGCTCTATAGGATTTATAAGGTAGAATAAATAGGTGCTCTCTACATAGCAGTTTGCCACTGGACACCGGGAGAAATTTTCGATTTGTAAGACTTTGTAAGAACTAAGCAGTTCGGTAAGAATAATCTCTATGGCATGCTTTTTTAAGCACCTGTTCAGTTTCGTTGGGATCGAGAGAAAAAGTGGTCCATATAAGCCTTATAGAATAACGATTAACGAAGATTCCGAATGGCTGATGAGCATCTAGATACCCCACCAATGCCATGAGAGTCCCATTTCAACGCCCAGACTCCAGTTCGCTTATCTTCACGAATGGGCAGTAAATTTTTAGCGGTTATATGCACTGTTTATCACCACGAGGTGTACGATTTAAGCTTAAATCTATGGCCCTTTTTTAACACCACGGCATTCTATACCAGAACTGGAGACAAATTACCCCGAACCACGGTTCACGTTTTACTGTGTAGGCTTACTCTACGATCACCGGTAACCAGAGGGATATCTGTTTTGCGACCATTCCGCGGCATTCACTTTATGATTGTTCCTCGTTTACGTGTGACAAGAATTATCGACTTGTACAAGGTTATTCCTGATTGTAATGGATAAATGCAACCCCCTCTCTCTACGAGCCCTGTCGGTCTCTTTCCCAAATCGGCTGTGCTCTGTCGCGGAGGTGTCTGTGTCTTCGATCTCCAGTTCCGGCTGTGCATTGAATTGGGGTAGANAGAGAACAATTGCTAGATAATTAGTTTAGGTGTCTGCATTCAAATTGAATATAATTGAACTGCGTAAATGTTTCGGTGTCACGCGTGAACACAACCAACTAACCCTTGCCTTTTCTCTTCTAATTGTGTGTTCGATCCGGTTTTAGATTTACCAGGCACTCGCTTGGCCAGGTTGATAGGTTGCACTTTGTATCACAGTATCGGTTGGCGACATCAATATTTCACAGATCGGTTTCCACCCTTGGTTCTAGGCTCGAGAATCAAAGACGATTTGAAGGCCTAAAAATTTCATGTTGGAGATGTCACATTATTGACTTAGGTCTTAATCCGGCTATCACGACAGCACTGCCAAACGGAGACTGGGATCTCATCCGAGTAAAGACTGCTTCACGCAGTACGTGGCGGAATCATTGCAGGAGTTGTTCACACAAGGGAATACAGTTTATATATATAGGCTATCCCCGAGATATGCTTGAAAGAATGAGGAGAATTCAAACGAAATGGCGTCAGCAGCACATATTGGTTCTCTGTCCGGGTGTGTATCTCTGACATTTACACAAGCCCAAAATGAAGTAATGTCTCCTGGACTTGCTTCTAATCGCTGTAGATACTGTTTTTCGTCCTGAAGAGCAGTTTTATATTGGTACGGTCGCTATACACGGAGTCAGCTCCTCGGAACCACAAGTGAGAACTGAAAGTCAGGCTGAGACTACACACTATTCAGATGTCTTAGGAGACAAAATTACCAATTAGAAAAGTCCAACAGGTTCGATGGTTACTCTAGAAAAAGCTGTCTCCAATCAGTGAAGTATTTCCGTGATCGGTACGTCATAACAGTGACAAAAAAATGAAATTCTTATCTTAAAAGGGTTATATGTGATCGATGACAGATTGAAGACGCGCATGGATCGAACTATGTTCCGGGGTCAGTGTTTTTGCGCGTGTGGGTCGTTGTTATTGTTGTTATTGTTCCGGTTCCCGTTACAAAGCGGCACCGTACGGGTTTCGGGTCTCGCGCAAACGCGGTTTACGCAGAGTGAGCCGATATGCACATTTCCGTCGGGATCTCGTGAAAGGTCTTCTCGGCAGATCCAGTGCAGGGGAATATACGGCTACAGTACCGTTTATCCTAATCTGCCGGTCACGTCTCTATCATATATACCCCGAAACTGGTCGGGAAGATGACGCAACACAACCATTAACCAAGCACTTTCGCTCACTGGTTTTGGTTACCCATTTGGACGAAGCAGTAAGGGGAACAAAAAGGGTTGAAAGTAGAGGACCATAAAATTGAGAACTCCAGGCTGCAAAGACTGCGAAGATGCACGAACGCCACTGTTCACGACATTCAGCCGTATCACTCAATGCCTCTAACACTCGGTCACGATCATCCCGGGCAACACAACATACTGCTCGTCAAGCACTAGTAAGATAGATGCTATGAAAGCCCATACAAGTCAGCGACCAAGTTTTTTGTCTGGCTCCGTGTCCCCTGTTAATGTGAAATTCATTATCCCCAACTGTGCAGAAACAATATCTGGTAATCTGTTGTGTTAGTTTCAATAATACAATATAAATACATGTTTTGCCTGTTTATTCATTAACCATGGAAATTTATAATCAAATTTAAGGCTGAGGATTATGGCCAATCCAAGACTGTGAGGAAATACGGATGTGATGAGCCACGGAACGGTATTAAACCGTTCTCATTCGCTCCTTGGTGTTCGGAGGAGTTAACCGTATTCCAAACATGGCTACAATACCACTTTAACTATTGATAAGCACTATGAAACTTATTCAAGAGTTGACTAGATAATTGGAGAATGTCAGACTGCGGTTGTGAAAACGGGTGCAATTTGTAAACGACGGGCTTGAAGATTTAGCTGTGAGAACCATTACGGAAGTTAATTCTGAGTTACTTGACAACAAACCGGTTTGAAGTAGGCAACAAACGTTCTTTAGCATTTCCTGTGATTTAAAAGGAGGCATCTTGAGCTGCATCACAAGTGCTATTCTCGAAAACCTGCATAGTCGCGGTTTGGGTGTTTTTTTTTCTGGAACTGGTTACCCTAGCCTCGCAAAGCACCCCTGTGCGATTAAACGTCCCATAAAACCTTTGCTGCCGAAGTCCTATTCATTGCACTCATGTGATGGAAGTGGTTTCCTGCAGAGGATGGTAAGTCAACTTTCGCGGCTGTAAAGGGGTCTGTAAGCCGTCGGTGATGCTCCTAGGAGCGAGAAACTGAGTAATTCCAACCCCTACCCAGTTCTGACAATAGTCACCGGTGTGATCCGGCATTGGGGTGTACTGAACACCTTGAACGTTTGATCCCGTCCAAATGTTATATGATTCAATGAACTGGATACCAGCCTCCTCTGCTGTCCTGCGGGTTGGATTTTGGCTTGTTACAGATTCCGGTTATGAATCCCCCAAGAAAAGTGGCTGCGTCCTAGGCAGCTTGGCATTATTTATTTTGCGAGCAAGTGGTGGACTATGTTATAGATTGCTGCACTGTAATTTATTCGGCACAGACAGGTGTAAATCGTGATACTGGTTTCCTTAACCCTTGTGGTTTATAATTATCACTATTCTCACTGGCTGGGAAACTTTTCAGTTTTCCCAATTTAACTTCATTTTATTGCATACATGTTATCTGTCAGTGCTCCCTCGATTGCGACTGTATTGGACATGGGTTTGGAACGCATGAATACGAAAAATGACACACGTTCCAATGACGCAGACAATAAACAACTAGTATAAGTACGCGGACACACGCTCGCAGAGGAGACAAAACCAATCCACACTCACCTGTGCATCTGACATGGACACATTGATTCGACACTGGTGTTTACCATACTGAAAGTGCACATGTATTCGTGACCGATCCACAATCCGTACTGTCATGTGCGCGTTCAGTCGAATCACGATAGGCTGAAATGGTGGCCCATGGATATGCGGTTCCCCAGACCAGTTCCACTGACGTCGAGTTCCTGCGTCTCGTGGCCCAGTGTTGTTCGAAAACTGAACTCCACCCATCCTGTTGTAATGCAATCTAAGATTGGATAGAGAGGGAGTGGAACGGTGCAGCGAAGTTAAACAGTAAAACGTTCGTGAAGAATTTCCAAAGATCTGTCCAAGTGGATTTACAATTTAAAAGATTTTCTTTTTTCGGATCCTCGAAAGGAAACACGATCACAATGAGGAGACTAATTAGGAAGCAAGCTTAGTGTTCGTGAAAGAGAATGCTACAGGTTGACTTAACAATTGAGGGGTGAAAGACGTATTGGTTTTCTTCCTTTCCAGCTATAGTAAATGTATAACAGTCCACCATGTCTCGGACTGTGACCAGACAGATTACCGTGGGAAATATAGCAGCGTATAAGAGCATTAGTGGTGGCAGGACTCGGTCTCGACCTTCAGACTGCTGTTATGATGGAATCAACCACCACTGTTACTATCAGAAAAAAAAGACGTTACTCCATGAGAACACTGGCTGGATGAAAAAGAACTTAAAAATATCCAAAAAGAGTTTGGAGAGGATGAGCTTCGGTGTGATAAAAACATCATATCCAGTTGCTCTTTGATCGCCTTAACAATAGTAGGTGTATCCGGTCACTGAAGACTTTCGTGTGTGGGGAGGGGAGGCAGCAAGGGGCGCCAAACGGTTGTTTTTTCTTGTTTGGACTCGTCAACAGTACTGTGGTCATCCCAGCTTATGGGATAAAGTGAACCTCGGGGGGAGGCGTTACAGTTTCTGAACAAATGTAATGAGTCCAAGCTTCCTAGATATCGCCAGAAAACCTGCCTACGCGTTACAGCTTCTGGAAAACGAACCACAGGCCGATTGTGCCGACCAATCAGAACCCGTGTGGCCCAGACAGAAGCTGTTCGACGCCAGGAATACGAACACGCGATTGGTAGGGGCTTGGATGACCAATGGACTTTTACATATTATATAAACCCAATGATTTAGTAAACGAACTGCTACTCCTGTGACCTTTTCCTTGCATCTCGGTTACGTGAGCTACCGTCGTGCATATGCTAATGTAACTCAGTGTTTCCGNGGCGTCCGTGATTTGGGCGTACTACAACCATTACAAGTACGTACCGGTTTTGCGTCTCTAATTGGACTCGAACCGTGAATCCTCGAGCTGAAAACCCAGATTCCTACCCCCCACCCCGAGTTACAAGGCCGATGGCCGACACTTGAGTGTATGTTTGTGTGCGTTATAGATGTTCTGGTTTTATTTGGTATGTGTATGCACTTTGGTTCGCGTATTGTTCTAGTATGGGTCTCACTCGTTAAGAGGGGAGGGAGGGTATTTATTCCCAAAATGTTTGAAAAACAACAGCACTCTAATCCTCCTGTGCCCGTGGCTTCGGACAGAGAACAAAACAAGCACAAATGTTCCTAACACACTGGGTTATGTTGCTTGCGCTACTCGAGTTTCACAATTGTAATCACTGTAAATTCTGGAGAAATAAGAGACATCTTACGTAATTCTTCGTCGAATCAGCTAGATTTTGGTGCTGGAGTGTACGAAAGGTTTTGGGGAGATAAACGAGTGTTTTGAGGTCATCTGAGAGTTTTTTAGTATCAGATAACGGAAGGGTTCCTCTTCGGAGTGGATAGCAGCACAATAGTTTAATTAAATGTCGGATCTTCGCTCTATGCTACTTTTTCTTCACTATTGATTATTCAACCAATTGTAATGATCGTAGTAGTAGTAGTACGCACGGAATTCGGAACACGAACCATGCAATAGAAATCACAGGACACGAATCAAGTATCAGCTATCATGGACTGGATTACGGAAGCACTGGACCGCAATGGCACGAGCTCGCAATATCCCACGTGAACGGGACGCGAGGAAAAGGCCACAAGAATGGCAGCTCGTAGTTCGTTTATTAAAAAAAATGAAGGCGATCAAATAATATGTATAAAAGAAGGTAATTAGTTATCTAGGCTTCTACCAATCATATTGCAATATTGCTTGCATACTTCTGCCTCTGTCTGCACTGTCTCGGACTGGCTGGCATGATCCGCCAATGGCGAGTAGTCAGAAGCTCTACGCGTGCCATTGACGTCACCTTTGAAATTTAATTGATCGCAGGTGTCTAGAAACTGTAACGCGCCGCTCCAGGGTAGACGTCATCACGTAGGCCTGGATCACCACATCAATTTCATCAGTCACTGCACCCGATATGCTATGAAAAAGTTTTTTTGTGAGCACAGATGTGCAAATTTAACCCTCCTCAAGTTTACTACATTCAGACACACCTTCACAAGGAACCTCAACTTCTAAGTACCTTTTCTACTAAACCAAAAGTAGCAGTATGAAAGGAAAACGGAATTTAATCAGGTGAATGGTGATCAAAGTGTTGGACGGTTGATGAGTCTGATTGTCATTTATCAATCTTGATGATCATCTTACCCCACCCCAGCAAGAGATAGAAAGCGGTATACTTTTGCATCGTCGTAATAAAGTGAATACCAAAATCAACAGACTATTTGTCTTCCCCTTCACTTGGTTCACACGCTTCGGGGTGATCACAAAATACGTAGATCTCCTAGATGACCAGCCGGAAGATTGAACTAAGTTGATAACCTTAATAACTTTATTAGAAATATTGTGTACAATTCGGATTTGCAAATTTGTTTACATCCTAAAAACATAAGGTGATCAGAGATAGAAAATGTTTGATTTATTTCATTGTTGAAATTTACTCGCCAAATACAACGGCGTCTTGGAGACTGGACTCGGTAAGTAGAGATGAGATGAATGGGGTATTTAACAGAATAATTTGAAAACAGTTGATCAATGAGAAGTGTTAGGTTTCGGTGACAGGAGCAAAAAAAGAACAGTGACACGTTTGGACACGTAATCTGATTAGTAAAAAGCAGAACAACAGGTTGTGTATGTGTTGGTATATTTCACCCAATGTGGTCGATCACTGTGAGGGTCTATTGAAGCACGTTGTAACAGCAAACCAGCCAGCCAGTCAATAACAACTACGTAGTCCAACAGAGAAACAGCCAGTCACGTGCTTTAATATTGATCGATGACAGTTGTAAGTCTGAAAATCATATGATTTTGAGGATAGTGGATACAAACGCTTCGGGTAAAGATAGTCCCTTGCCTTGTGTATGGACGCCGACAATCGAAAAAGAGCATCATTGGTCTACTTCCAGCTAAATTTTATCCGAGGTTTCGCTGTCATATTCCTGTTCCATCTACGATAAGTGTTTTGACCCTATCAACTGCAGGGTGAACTAAACCGCTTCCAACTTAACCTGTTAGTCATTTATTTGAGATATTCTAATATCGATTTGAGAAGTCCCAGTATTCATTTCGAATGTTACTACGTGAACGGTTTCTTGTGCAGTACAAGGATGACGAGCTTTCGAAGCAGCAGCGAAATCGTCCAACTCACGAAATTCTACGATAGCTGCAATGCAGTTCCCTTGCGTGCAACGGGTCGCAGGGAAATCGTTCTTTATAGACGTGAGAATATTTGGCATTGCTCGGTGATGGATGGCCCCACGGGCAACTGGAAAAGCCTGTGACTTCAAAGATTCTTCGTTGCACTGCATAAGATCTCGTGCATGTTATCACAGGGTTTCTTAAATATATATCGAGGCATCTGAAATTGATGTTCTTGAGTCTCAAGTTGATACTGGAACAGTTGAAGTTGAAGGGAGACTTTTCGATGTTCTGAGGTACGGTTTTTGAGTTAACATTTCTCGATGGAAGTAGCTAGAACCTAAGTGGATACAGAGTCAATAAACGGTCGAGAAAAGATGAGATATTTAACATTTCCGGAGTGACTCGAGTGGTCGGTATCATGTCGGTAGATAGTGTGACATGAGACCCGTTCGGCTCTGTAATGGGACTACAGATGTGGCCAGTGTTTTCTGTTGGGTCCAAATGAACTAACTGACAAGCACTGAAGACGATACCCGGAACAAACGTGAATTGGCTGTTCGGTTCAGCTTTGATATGATCTGGTTGGCACAGTAGTGACACAGGCGTTCCATGCGATGGGTCCAGACGGATCGGACGGTGGGACGGTGGATATGCTCTAGCAAGAGTGAAACTCGAGTCTACACAGTGCTTCCTGGATGAACGGAGGATTGTGCATGAAGGTGAAACCTGAAGGATGGTCAGCCCAAATCAATCAATATCGGCATTCGGTTGGTTGTGAATCTGAAGTGT